TGCAGTTAATCATATGCAAAACCATTTTATGGCTCATGAAAAAATTATATTGTTGTTATGCTCATGTAGATTGATGTAAATTTATTAGTGCAGTTAGTTTACAGTTTATATAGATTTTTATGTAGTATTGAAAACAAATTGATTTTAACTTCTTCTGCTGGATCAATAAAGATACCTACAATAAAATTATGTAAGACTTTTTAAACTTATTATAAATATTATTAAGACTTATTTCCTATTCTTATGTTTTTTTTTAGTGTTAAAAATGATGGACGAAGACATTGAACAAAGACTTCGAGATATCCAAAAAGAATATTTGAGTTTTCTAGATGACGAAGAAAATCAAAATATATATCACAAAAAAGTTAAGTTAATGATTGACGAAAACAGTCAAAGACTATTAATTGATATTAATGATTTACGTAAAAAAAATCCTCATAGAACTCAGGAATTATTAACAAATACTTTTGAAGAGCAATTTGCTTTGGAACGTGCTCTTAAAGAATATGTCGCAAATATTGATTCAACATATGCCAATAAGTTTGATGAATTTTTTGTTGCATTTGAAGGTAGTTTTGGAAGTCGTCATGTCACACCTAGGACTATGAATAGTAAGTTTTTAGGTAATTTGGTGTGTTTAGAAGGCATTGTTACAAAATGTTCTCTAGTTCGTCCAAAAATTGTGAGAAGTGTGCATTTTTGTCCAGCTACAAAAAAAACAATAGAGCGCCGTTACACAGATATGACATCAATATCAGCCTTTCCATCTAGTTCTGTATATCCAACAAAAGACGATGATGGTAATCCTTTAGAAACTGAATATGGTCTTTCTGTTTATAAAGATCATCAGACAATAACAATTCAAGAAATGCCCGAAAAAGCACCAGCTGGACAATTGCCGCGCTTTGTTGATATTGTATGCGATAATGATTTAGTTGATTGTTGTAAGCCTGGTGACCGAGTGCAAATAGTTGGAAGTTATCGGTGTCTTCCTGCCAAACAAGGAAATTATACTACTGGAAATTTTAGAACTATTGTTATTGCTAACAATATATCACAGTTAAGTAAAGATGCAACATATTCTGTTAGTAGAGATGATGTTTTCAACTGTAGAAAATTATCAAGAAGAAAAGGTGATATTTTCAATTTATTGGCTCGATCATTAGCACCTTCTATTCATGGCCATACTTTTATTAAAAAAGCAATCCTTTGTCTTTTGCTGGGTGGAATTGAAAAAGTTTTACCCAATGGGACACGACTTCGTGGAGATATAAACCTGTTATTAATTGGTGATCCAAGTGTTGCCAAATCACAATTACTGAGATATGTGTTATGTGCTGCTCCAAGAGCTGTAGCAACTACAGGTAGAGGAAGTTCAGGAGTTGGTTTGACTGCTGCAGTCACTACAGATCAAGAAACTGGTGATCGACGATTAGAAGCTGGAGCTATGGTACTTGCTGATAGAGGTGTTGTGTGTATTGATGAATTTGATAAAATGTCTGATATGGATCGAACAGCTATACACGAAGTTATGGAACAAGGCAGAGTATCTATTTCCAAAGCTGGTATACATGCAAGGCTTAATGCCAGGTGCTCTGTCTTAGCTGCTGCTAATCCTGTATATGGTAGATATGATCAATATAAAACTCCAATGGAAAACATAGGTCTGCAAGATTCATTACTGTCTCGGTTTGATTTATTATTTGTTATGTTGGATGTACCTGATAGTGAAAATGATCGTTTGATATCCGAGCATGTTGTTCGCATTCACAGATACAGAGATCCTAAAGAACAAGATGGTGAAGCATTACCAATGGGTTCAGGTGTAGATATTTTGAGTACTAGAAATTTGGAAATTGATGAAAATGACCCATCTAAAACTCGTATGTTTGAAAAATATGAACCGTTACTTCATGGACCACGAAACAATAAATCAGAACAAACTTTAAGCAGTCAATTCATGAGAAAATACATACATATTGCTAAGTGTGTTAAACCTGTATTGACTGAAGAAGCATCTAATGAAATATCTGAAGAATATTCTAGACTTCGTTCTCAAGAAGCTGTTGAATCCGATGCCGCAAGAACCCAGCCTGTTACTGTTAGAACATTAGAAACATTAATTCGTCTTTCTACTGCTCATGCTAAAGCTCGTTTGTCTAAAAATGTTGAACCACAAGATGCTCAAGCAGCAATTGAACTTGTTCAGTTTGCTTACTTTAAAAAAGTACTAGAGAAACCTAAAAGAAAACGGCAACTCAGTGAAGATGAATCTGGAGATGAACAAGATTCTCAAAACAAACCTCCAAAAAGAAAATCAAAAAAAAATGATGAAGATCCTTACTCGTTTGAAGATGTGGAAGAAGAAGAGACTGATACTGCAGAACTAGAAGTTATGGAAGTAGATACAAATAATTTACCTGCAGTAGCACAAACATCAATCACTCCAGATAGGTATAAAGTATTCAAGTCGACATTGAGTAAAGTATTTCAAAAAAACAGATCACAATCATTGGGTTTTACTCGAATGCTCACTATGATAAATGAAGAACATATAGATAATACTTTTACTGAAAAGGAAGCTTATGCTGCTATTTACAAAATGATGGATGCTAACTTTATAATGTTTTCTGATGGAATTATATTTTTAATATAGATAATTAGTCTTGAGTATTTTTCAATATAATTTTATTTACATAAAGTATTCATAAGAAATGTATACAAGATGTTATAAAATAAAATAATTATAATTTATAAATTTAAAATTAATTTTCTAAATTGAAATTTCTTAGTTTTGTTTTATTTCTAATTATTTGTATTACAGTTTAAATGTCTTTAAAGTTAATTATTACAAAAAATAAGTTTTCAAGGTTTTTTTTTTATAAATTTAAAAAAATAACATATTTCTGTTCAATTTTTGAATTTACATTTAGTGATTATTCATATTAATTTATATAATTATGACCACTCATTAAACTAGACATAAATGTATATAGATATAAGGTATTATATAAGTACAACAGGTTATAATTATACTATGGATTTATTTTTTTTAATTGTTAAAATTTCTATATCATTAAGATGTACCTGTAATTAAAACATTTATAATTAAAGAATTCTGTATCAAAATAAATTTTTAAATATTTCAATATTTTGTATTGATTTATTACCTATATAAACATCTAAATGTTGATAATTGATATTATGCAATGTTTTTTTTTTTTTTTACTACTAATACTGGTACGGTATTTTCTACTGTTTATTATAGACATTATGCTTAATTAATATTGAATAATACATAACTCGACTTAAAATTTAATTATTTTAAAGCACGTTTTAAATAACAATAATTTTTGTTTATTTTATAAAGTCAAATAGGTACATAAAAACTGAATATGTTCTATAGTTCATATCGCGTTTATTCAGTTTTCAACTTGTTAGTACTATTACTATTATATGTAGTTTATGAAGAAAGCTGCTTAATCAGTTAACCATGACAATTGTTTTTACGTGGTTTATTTTGTTGTTTTTACATGAGGAGTATTTTTTATTTATTTCTAATAGCGCATAAATCGTTTTATTATTTATTATTTATTTTTGCAGAAGAACATTCATTATTTCAACGTTTTTGGAAACAGTTATTTATCATGTCCAAAACTTATTATTTTTTATACTTCAAATTATTTGCGTCAAATTTTAAACGAATAGAGTTCATGAGCAGAATGAAGTGACACGAGGGTTTCTTGAAAAATATCAGTACACTATATTCCTGTCCATTACTATTTAAAATACTTATAACCTATAAACTGCTTGTCCTAAATTCGGTTTTTATGTAAAAGATTACTCTAAAAAAGTATTTTAATTTGGAATGAGAAATAGTAAATAAATATTTTCATTCTAAAAAAGATAATAAACGTACAAAGTGATATTATAACTTATAATTTATAATATAAAAATAAAATTTGCGTCCTAAAAATATTTTCTAAAATGTTAATAGTTAGAGAAACATTGATAGTTCTTCAAAAATGAATCGCTCTGTAGATAGTGTAGATTAATACTTATTTGTAACCCTGAAGTTATCCACTGTTCAACAGTAATAACTAATAAGTAGGGCCCGGAACTTGATAACCTAATTTTTTTTTAAAAATGCACTTAAAAAAGTATTAAAATTACGTAAAAACATCAAAAAATTACGTTTTTTAGTAATAAATCATAAAAATTCATCGTTTTTAAATCAATATATTTTAATCATTCATTTATTATTTTATTCATTTGAATTTAAACAACGCAAATATTTTTTTTATACATTAAATATATTTTTTTTACAGACTACACGACCTAAATTAAATATAAAACGGAGATAAGAAATATAGTCAGTAATACAAAATAATTACAAAAAGAAGTTGGTGTTTTTAGAAAAAAATTGAAGGATTAGGCTGTAGGTACAATACGTTAGATTTTTTTCAAATATTTAGTTTTGTCGAAGTAGTAATATTCAAGAAAAATGTAAATAATGTAAATAGATCTACAAAATTGCATCGAAGTTAGTAAAGAAATGACCGTATAACCAAAAATTACTGGAAAATACATAATAAAAATGGTTCCATTGAATTTTACATGATATAAGTCACATTTCTGTAAAGATAAGCCTCGTATAAACGCATTAGAAAAAAAAAAATGCAAATGCATCAAGTTCCGGGGCCTATACCTACTAATAAGTCGTGTGCTCCGTCGATATTGATTATAATCATTATTCAACGATTCGTCGGCGGAAGTCGAACAATTAAGATATAGGTACACGAGTATATGCATATGAGGGGTACCTGTGTTTAACGCTCAGGTAAAATATGCAATTATACGTTCGTCGTGTGATTGTGCAACGGATATAATGACGTCGGTCCCGATTTACTTTGCGATTTTAGCAACGTCGATTTATTTCGAATGCCAACTTCAATGTTACGCCGTGCGCGTTTTAAATTTTATTTATTCGATTTCGGGTTTGACTCGACCGCGTCGGTTTCTGTGCGCTGCCGGTGTTTTATTGTTATTCACGTCGTGGTCGACGATAGCCGCTTTCTGTCGAATACCTGAATGTTTGTCGTCGGTTGTGATCGTATCGTGGCTTGTCGCGGTAGCGATCCGTTTCGCGCGCTACCTCCGTTTTCGTTTCGTTCACAACAGCCTTTTCTGCTGCGAGTTATTAAGTTTAACTAAATTATCGTTATCAGACGAAAAACCGATTTTCCGTCGCTTAAAAAAAAAAGAAGTATAGTATATAAAATATATACTACACTTTGCCACTGCAACGTATGTTTTGAGAATTGTTCTGGGAACGATAGGCCTACGCATGGATCTACGCAAGTAAGTACCTACACTATTACTCGCGTTTAGAATCTTACTGCAAAAGATATTAAAATAACAAAATAATAAATTTATAAAAAATTTTAATACCTCAATTACAATAAAATATTAAAACTTCCTTCAGGAAAAATAAATATTTTACAGTTGAATTGGTTATTTATGTTAGAAAACTTCAAACATTCATTAAAATAACTTTTCTGATAACTTTTTTTTCTTTTATGGTTAGAAAAACTTTTGAAGAATCTTATATTAGATTTTCAAATCCTAAATATAAAAATGAAAATCACAAAATAATTTGCAAATTTTCGTTATTTTGACGAATTTTGTCAAAATTCTAACTTTAAACGCTTCTTAAAAAATATTATGACTTTGTATTTTTCATATTTTTTAATTGTCATGTATCAACAACTTATAAGTTTATAACCATCGTTATATTATGCTATCAAGGATTTTGATCAAGTGAACATATTCTTATCAACGTTTATAAAAATATAAACTAAAAAATGTTTATACGTATATAACTCAGAGTCAGGATATTTTGAAAATTTTATCATACGTTGAAGACGATAATATAAACATTTAGTAAAAATTAAATATCAACGGTTATTCGTTTTTTCAGTTTAGTACATTAGAAAAACAAAATTGATTTTATCAAATACTTACTGGTTTTGCGTAAAAATTTCCGTTTTTTCTTAATTTATTTTTATTTTTTTCCAGTTATTTTAAAAAGCATTGAGAATTTAATTTGGACCTCTCTAAAGTATCAAATAGATCCAATTTGCTATCAGAAATCATTCATTGAAAATGTATACATTTAATTTTCATGTTGTATACAAACATTAAAATAAAAAATAAATATACATTTATTGTTTTGTTTAAAATATTAGATAGTTTCGTGCTTAATTTTTCAAGTAGGTTACCTATACCTATTCGTAAGGTATGTGAATTTAATAATGTACTTGGAATGTATTTTTCTAGAGTAACCCATACTTCCGAAAAAAAATATTTTTGTATTTAAATCGTGGCCCTAATTACTAGAAACAATCCGAGTAATAACTTAAATTATAATCTTTTTTGAAATAAAAGTTTTAAGCAGTAGTCAGTAGACATAGGTAGCATATATAATTATTATCAATATTAAAACGATGTTCGACTCTCTCAGATTTAATCCAACACTGTCGAGTTGGATTTTAAATTTGTTTTGATATTTATATTTACTTGCTTTAAAAATATAAATTTTATATAAGTTTTTATAATTATTGTTAATATTTTTATTTATTAATTTTATTAATCAATAAAATTAATTATTTTTTTAATTAATGTTGAATGTAATTGATTAAAAAGTAATCCAGGCACGTTTAAGTTAGATTAATAAACACATTTTAATGCTGTGAATAATAATAATATGTAATCTTATTAAAACGCATTAACGTACAGTAGCCATGGGTCGCGTATCTTGACTGCCTTTAGAACTATAATAATACATAATACTCCAGCTATAATATGAATTGCCACACCCGGAATTGTTATGTGTCATCTCAGCATTTATGCTTCCCTTATAAACGTATTATAATTAATATACTTAAATTATAGTGTGTGAAATTTTTTGTAACTAATTATACTGGGTGTATTGTTTTCTAAATTTAAATAAGCATGCAGTGTGTGTATGGAGAATGCCTTTGCTTTCCACTTGTTAGTAAAAAATTAATTATTTTAATATTATTACTAGTCAAATTAGTCAATTATACTTTAATGTGCAACTATATTGTACTACGATCGCTTTAATAGTTCCAATCTTGAATTATTTTTAAACTTAATAATTTATCATTTTTAATGTTTATAATTGCATTAGAATTAATTATTATTGCACAAATAGAATACTGTAATGATAGGCTCACACATCGTTGTATATCATATAGCCATTAAACTCAAATAAATAAAATAACTAATAAAATAAACACCGCTGATGAAAGAAACGACTTATAATATATTCACGTAGGGACTGACACATGATTTGTGACGATGTGCCGCAAAGGTTAACCTAACCCACTTCGTCTGCCGTCAGGGACAAGGGATAGCCCAATGAGGGTTTTTGTCGCCTAGGAGAAAGCCTATTTCTTTAGAAAACGCGGAGACCTTTGATGGTGCCGCCTTCGATTCTGGCTGGCTTGACCAGGTCGTCTTCTCTCATCAGTGCATGAGCGCCATTTAAACTGTTAAGCGCATGCGCACCATACACACGAGCAAGAGCTCTACACACACGACCACACACAAGATTCTGCGAGCGACAATTGGACTTCTCTTTTTTTTTTATAGGTTAAACCAGTGTTGTTTTTATTTTGATTCAAGTGTTAAATTATTATTATTATTATTATTATTATTATTAGTGTTACCTTAATTCCTAACTAGCACCTCACATTCACTGCTGCGAGTAGGTAAGGTACATGATTATAATATACTAATTATTATTATAATATTTTGCATATTAGTTTTTGTATCACGGTATACTTGATTATATTCTCGAATACATGACCTCGAGAACCCTTCGAAAAACAAGAGGAAGGTAATAACTCGAGAACACGTGAATTTGATATTAATACCCGACTTATATCCAAGGCTTCTGTCCCTTATGTCAGTCTAGTTCTTATAACTTTTTTTTTAAAGCGTACAATCTGTAAATAAATTATTACAATAAGTACGCATGCGGTAATATATAATATAGCTTGACATAAACGTGATAAAAGCAGCTACCCAATGGCGACATTTTATAACATGATTAGGTTGAATTTAAATTTACCTTCTTATAACTTAACTTAAAAATCTTTTATTATTATTTAATTTCCTTTTCATTTCTCGTTATTACAATATTTTAGTGATCCATTCCATCAACTCATATTTCAGCTGCTTTTTTCGTTACTTTTTTTTTTTTTGTAATAGAAAGCTACTACCTTCGACTAATGTAGCTATATTATATTATTTATGATTAGGGTGAGGTTTAACATTGAACTGAAGTCGACTTCCTATATTATGTTATTATGAACTATTTGATGAATTCAATTTTTACTATTTTAAAATTCTACTTACACGTACGTCAAATTTACAGCTATTACATACTCGTTACATGTGTTTTTATAATTTGCATTTTCTGTAGACATAGTAATTAAACTCTGACCGCATTGTATTTATAGACTTTGATAATTGTTGTTCGAACAGAAACATTAATAATGTTAAGTTATGACTTATGAATATTTAATTTATTTATTATTAAAAATAAATTGCTTGTAAATTTTCGTTTTTTGATGCTTGTTTTATTTTTTTAAATTTAATATCAATTTAATTTGGCCTTGAAGCGATTTTTGGATTACTGTTGGCTATAGTTATTTTTATCAAGTTTAAATTAAAAAATTAGATAATATACATAAACAGTTAAGAGAAATCAAATTTTTTTAAATGATTTTTAAACTGGTAAACTGTTTAAGGTTATTTCACTTACCACTTGTAGTTTACGAAGGTTAATCTTACTATTTTTAGTTTTTACTCTATAATTCATAAAAACCGGTACATACTTAATACGCATATACACTGTTATATTTTATTAATTGTTTTATGTATATTAAAATATACTTTTTTTAAATATATTATTGAAGTTGTGGATCATTTTTTTAAGTATCCCTGTATAAGATACTTCTTTATTTTTTATGTTTTTTAAATAAATTTATGTTACCATGTTTATATATAATTTGCTTTCATTTTTCATTTTATTTATTATAGCGCTGTAACACCCAAATAAAAATTTCCATTTAGCATACTTAGTATTGAGTAATTCGTTTATCGAATAAAGTTCATTATTTCAAAAATTATTTATGTTTTTGAAAATATAAATTGTAGTTGAAATAAGATCGTAGGGGATGCTATAGCATACCTGTCATCCTCCTTGTGCATATCTATGTTTGAAATTAGAATTAAGTATTTTACATAAATATAGTATTTAATATTGAAAAAATATATTAATAATATTTAATTATTCCAATGTTAATTATAAGAATATTGGAAGCTTAATAAATAATGATTTGAATAGAAAATATATACTTTCTCTGTGGTCTGGACGCCTGGTATGGTGCAGTTGTTGGCCTCAGTCACTAACGTGTTATGAGTTCAAGTATTGGCCGGCGTCGCTAACTTTCGGATGGGTGACCACTTGGTTTCTTAGCAACGAATCTATGGCGTACACATACATAAACGTGTTCCATAATCCTACAAACCCTACAAAAAAAAAAAAAAAAAACCCAAAAACCTATCTACCTTAGTTGCCGGGGTTAAGATCAATAAAATAAATAAATAAATAAATACACTTACTATTTTTAATTTTAGGAACTATCATTTGATAAATTATATAAATAAAAATGTTTGTGTTATTTATTATTTAATTATTCAAAAGATTATGTATAGAATAGAGATAAAAAATTTAAATGTACACCAATATATATATATATATATAATGTAATACTATATACATGGATATTTTTGATATTTATTTATTTAATAAAAAAATTGTTTTACTCGATAATTAATAATATTATAAAAATACATAAATATATATTTAACATTTTTTATTAGAAGGTTGATAATAATGGCATTTAGAATAACTTAGCTAAAAAAAAACCTAAAATTTAAAATAGTATATTTTTAGATACACTTTTCAATTAATTAGTTTATATTTTTTAATCAGATACTTTTGATAATTAATAAATAATATTATAGACAATTCACTTCTTTTCTTTCTACGAGTATGGAATTACAGCGGCATTCTAAACCACTCAAACGAACTATTAGCCTGCACATTACATAAAAAGAGAATCGATATAGCCCTTGTATCATAATCCCATCTAACTGACTGTGTTAGACTAAACATTCTCGACCACTAACTGATAACTATTCCAACTATCCTAATGGTACCATATTAGCCAGCTCCGCAATTCTAATCTGAACACAAACCCAAT